GGGGGGGGGGGGGGGGGGGGGGGGGGGGGGGGGGGGGGGGGGGGGGGGGGGGGGGGGGGGGGGGGGGGGGGGGGGGGGGGGGGGGGGGGGGATGACCAATTGAGACCCCGTTTATTAATAATTAAATAGTTACCCCAGGACTCCGTTATGTTCACAGGTCAACAGATTCCAAGCGTTTCGTCGGGCTCCGTACAATGTACAAAAAAACGATACGAAAAACGCGCTTCAACCACGGCTGCGCGATTATGGCCACCTCCGACCGCTTAGTAAATACATACACCACGTTGGGTACTATTTTCTGTCACCAGGGCATGGCATGATCAAGGACCATAAAAGTCGGAAGTCAGACAACTAAAGGAAACGCAACTCAAGCAGAGTACTACAATACGTACATGCAGGCAACGCACCCCCTCTCTCTCTTCCGCACCCCCTTCTTGCTTCTTTCCTCCCCCTACCCTCTGCATCTCTGCGTTTATGTACCCCTCACGGATGGTGTTGCCGCGGAGGGTGATCTTACATTTGCCAGCAGGGTGAAGGCGACGCCGAACTCGAACATGGTCGAGCCAAGCTGCTCCTGCTTCTTCACCAGCGCCGTTGTGTGCCTTGCTACGTTTTGCATCTGACACCCCCCACCGCCAACAACAAGAGGAACACACAGAAACATACGGGCGGACGGGCGTGACAACGAGGAGGGAGAGCAGCGCACGCATTGAAGGCAGAGCAAGGAAAAAAGGACATGAGAGACATGTGCACGCTCCAACCCAGGGCGAGAGACGAGGGCAGTTCAGCCACCACCGAATTTTCGACAGACACCTCTTGCGGTGGTACAAGCATGTGTCTCACGACCATGGGCAGAAAAACACAAGCACTTTTCACAACCGAAAAACCAAGATTAAGAAAAAAAATCTGATATTACATTACAACATGTAGGGAATAGCCCAAGTTATTACCTGAACGTCCAGGTTGTTCGCGTACTGTTGCATCTCCTCGAACTTCAAGTCCGCAGGCGTCTTGGCGGAGGTCTCCTCCTTCTTCGCCTGTGTTGTACGAATGCAGCGTATGTGTGTGTGTGCGTTTCCATCATTAGCATCGACGGCGCTTACTGGCCGACCAAAGGACATGGCATCAGTCGGTGTTGGCGGTGTCATGTATCCGGCGAAGAAAAAAGGTTTTCTTGTTCAGTACATGCAGCCACCGATTCCAGAGTCGACGCAAGCATGCGTCGCCTGCATTGAGCGGAATGAGGAGAGGTTCTAAGGAAGGTGATGCTCGGAGACAATGGAGCATACACCATCTTCTCGGGCACCAGGGGGGGGAGGGCGGAAGATATCCAACAACGAGACCGGAAGGACCGTAAAATCATTCTGGGACGAAACACATACAAGGGGGCCAAGGCGTAGTAGAAGAAACGCAGGTGAAAACAGCAATACAACAATAAAACAGCAACAACATGCCGACAACGGCGCGTTAAGCTACGACTTCTGAAACAAAAAACATGCTTGGTGAACAATAACGCGAACATCTCACCGCCAGCCCGCACGGGGCAAGGCTGTTCACCAACCCCACCTTGTCCACCTGGGTCTTGACATGAGTCGCCACCTCCCCGAACCAGCGGAGCACGTGGTGAGGCCCCACGGGCACCCGCTCCGCCTTCTCCTTGTCCTTGGTGTCCGCAAGGCCGGCGTCATCCGCCTGGGGAGGGGACGGCATGGGTGCATGGTTAAGGCACGAGGCACACGAATAACGGATCGATCACACCAGCACATGAGAACACAACATGATGACACAACCGCCACACATCAGTATACTCCACGTAGTGAGCATGTGTAGCACGCTAGAGCGCGTTCGTTTCCAAACACCTGGTTGCACACGACAGATGCCAGGGTAGTGCGCAAAATGTAGCGCGCTACAAGTAGAGTGTGCCCGTTCCATACGCCGGGTTGCACACGAACGATGCCAGGGTAGTGCGCATAATGTAGCGCGCTACAAGTAGAGTGTGCCCGCTTCCATACGCCTGGCTGCACATGGACGATGCCGTCTGCTTCGGAAACAATGCTCCAATCTGGCGTTCACAAGCGCGCGACGCCCCGCGTATTCACCTATTTACACCGGTGAGTTGATTTGATGGTGAGCCAAAAAATATCGCAGGCACAACCTGCTCTTGCTATACAAACAACAATGATTGGCCACAACGGATGCAGTACCAGCCAAATCTCACTAATAATCTCCTCACCGACACGTGCTCCTTTACTGACGATAGCTGGGACCGCAGGCACCGGAGTGCGGCCGAAGTATCACTTGCGTTAGACGTTCTAAGCCAACGTTGAACAGAACGAGAGAACAAAGAAGTCGGGCCAACGGGAACGACCAAGACGAAGAGAGCGACCAAAAGACAGACCGGCCGACCGACCGACCTGCAGGAAGGTCTTGAAGTACTGAGAGGCTGAAAGCTCCCCGTGGGCGGCCACTCTGTTGAGGAATATCTCTAGCTCCTTCCGCCGCTTCTGCTCCACGACGCGTACGGGGAAATGATAGTGCGGGGGGGGAGGGGAGATTGGCGCCACGCCGCGGGGTTTCGGGACGATTCAAATCTGCTGCGGCTTACCGCCTCTCTGCCGAGGCATGACGCCAAACCAAATCCCACCAGCCTCGCGCCGATTATAGTGAGACTCTGCAGTATCTTTCTACTTGTTCCTCCTTCTCCATCTGATGCTGCCACTGCTGCCGTCTTGGCGGGGGTTCCTCCGCCACAAACATGCACATTCCTCCGCTGACTGCTGCCACGAACGCCAGCCGCATGGTGCTCGTGTCTGGGACTGCTCCTACTCTTCGCAAACCCGCTGCTTCTGGTCCTGCGGAGTTTACTGCGGCTACTAGTAGCGTTTTCGACACAAGTGGTACCACAAAATATGTCTCTGGGTGCATGGACGGATGGTCTGTCTCCGCTGCTCCTGCGGAGTCTACTGCTGCTGCTGGTAGTGCTTTCGACACAAGTGGTATCTACAAAAAAACATGTCTCTTAAGTGCATGGACACGGATGCTTTTTTTCTCTGCGTGCGGAGGCGTGTCCTACCTCGACGAAGGTCTGGTCGAACTTCCCCACCACCATCTTCACCGGCAAGGCGGGCATGACCATGCCGGGGAACTCTTCCTCCAGGCGGTGGCTGAGCCAGACGAAGTCCTTGAACCGCCGGATCACCGTGAATTGCCCGTACTGGAAGTCCGGGCGGTCGGTGCTCGTGTGGACCTGCGTGATGGCGCGCGGAGCGTGCATTTCGGTTAAACGCCAACCGATAGACGAATGAAATACGCCCCCAGTAGTCTTGTGCGTAGAGGCAACACAGAGCGAGGATTTCGGATTCTGAGAAAATTACAAGTTGCCGTGCCTTTTTTGAACTACTAGACACACGTTGACCGATGCACACCATTGTGCGAACCGCTGCTGTTGCTGTAGATGTGCCCAATGGGCTGCGTGGAAATAATCAATCAGCGCCAAATCGTCGCGAGCCAAGAAGAGGTGTTGAACACCAGATCGAACGACAATCACCGGAAACACAATTAGGACGATAACCTCAACAGGATACCCCGACCGCCCGTTACCAATCACAAAACCAACACAGCAGCAGCTTTACCACGCCTACCTTGTACGTGATGTAGGCATTTATCCCCTGGTCCTGCTTCACGGGGTCGCACACGGTAATGTTGAGCCGGGAGCCGGCAGCGGCGGCGGGGGCGGTCCTTCCGGGCATGTCGACGTTCGACAGCACGTCCGGGTACGCGGTACCGTTGGACATGGCAATGAAACCACGGCCTCCGACGGGGTAGTCGCTGCTGTACGTCTTCGGCTACAAACCGTTTCCACGACGGGGAGAGAGAAAAGAAGTGGGACGAGGGTCGTCAGGTTCACAGGGCTGTTTTGACACGCACACACAGGTGTAGAAGAGCAGCGGCAGCGGCGGCGGCGGGGGTGACGAACGGCAATTACAAATACCTGTTGTTGTGCATCCATCAGTTATTTGCCAGCCCCGCCTCGTGAAGAGAGGGTGTCGTCTCCCGCACAGCCTACTCCCGGATGTGTACACCCTAAACAAAACGGCCGTTTCATAAACACTTATGCATAGCCTTGGTCAACAACCAATTTTCCTCAAATACATTACCCTGAAGAGTACCGCGTTTGTCGATTGACTCCATCATTCAGGCTGGAAAAGATGTATGCTACCGGCCTACACTTCGTCCGTTACACAGCGAAACTCGTGGCTATGAGTCAAACGTCACACGATAATGCTGTCTAATAGCTCTAGGGGTCTACTGAACGACACTGATTCACGCCCGAGAGGGGACTGGGGATTGGACAACGCACTGCTACCTTCGATTCTAGCAAGGGTGTATTCCTTCTTGGGGTAGTTGGCTTGTGATCACGGGAGGCGTCCGCGTCAGTTGCACCAGTAGTCTAGACATCAAAGGTACTGAGCCGAGAACCGCACGGTTTTGATGTCAAGCCAACAACAGCAAACCAACTGCCGTCAGTTGCTGGGGTTCAGGCGTTCAGAAAACACCCTAGTCTTACTCCCAAGCAGCCTTTCGGTTGGCGCGGTACACTTGTAGATGTGCTGTTAGCAGTTACGGTTCGATATTTATCTATGGGAGTGTATGGCCACGGGGAGGGGGTATGCACATCTCGTATACATACGTCACCGAAACGCCAGCAACGAACGGTATATACTTCATTTTTTCGACAGCACCGCTGTAAAACTCTGCAAGCCTATTTGAGAAAGAACAAGAATTCTGAAAAAAAGAAGGAATCGGGACTGGTACGTACACGCGCGGACCTCTCTGTGTGCTCCTAAATGCAGGCAGCCACTGCTGTAACCATAACGGTATTGCTTTGTTCCGACGTGATTGCACAAAAAAATCGCAAAACTCTTCGCAGTCCGCAGGGACAGATGCTGCCAGCGTGAACTGCCCGCTGCTCTGGGCAGACAGAAAGCGGTTCAATTCCATTTGCTTGCTGTGGAGCCAACGCCATCTTATTTTTAGAAAGTAAACATAACCTCACAGAAAGACTACTTGTACCCGTTCGAGATACATATATAACCTCAGTCGAAAGGGATGTGGTGAAGTCTTTTTCAGTAAGTGGATTGAAACCAACTGGAGACATGTCTTATTTTGAGTTTGTGTAAGCCTAATACTGAGTTACCAGTAATGCCAGTTGGAGCTAAGAACAAAAGCATCTGCTTTATAGGCGGATACATTCTTCGTTTTATGCGGAATGTGGGCTTCACAGGGAACATGGCGCAGCCTTCTTTTCTCGGGACTCAGGCAGTGAAAAAAAATGGGTTGATTTCTAGATTGATTTCTGCATTTTCCACCCCCACAAGCTGTAGGTCGGCGTCCATCGTAAATGCACACACAGCGAGTTGCACACAGCCGTCGCTAGTCCCCTGCGAAAGAAGCTTCCCTCAGGATAGGCACACAACAAGAGGCGGCACCAAGAGGAACCACGTTTTTCTGCAACGACAGGAGGCGTCGACGCGATGTGAATGAACTGCCTCTCACACCAATCACAATTCGACAAATCTCACCGGATCCTGCACCGCAAGGTCCAGGTACTCCTGCAGAAGATAATAAATATCTAGCTCGTCGGGGCGCCACGCCACCCTATTTGGCGCTTTTTAGAGCGTATGGTGTTCCCTCGTCCAGTGTTGGAGGGGCGAGCAACGGGGAACGAGGCCAGGGAGAGCAGCAGAGGGAGAAGAACCTGGAAGGGCGGCGGGGTACAAATTATGCGAATGATCGACGGTGCCTCTTAATTGCGCCGCACTATCCTATCCATGTGCAGTGTGTGCCATTTCTCGAGAGGCCGGCAGTTGCAGTCTTCCACAGAGGCTGCTACCTGCGCTCTCTCCAACTTCCCTTGGCTTCTACCAGCTCTTCTCTCCCTCTACAAGACTGGGAAGATGGAGCCCGCTGAAGCCGCAGACGTGGAGCAGCTCGATCGAGTGCTCCACCGCCTAGTCATAGCTGACGACTCTAAGCTTTCGCCAGTACTAGACATTCTGCTGCCAAGGCTTGTGCGGAAGCTGAACGGCAGCTCTCCACGCGTCCGAGCGAAGGTGATAGACGTCCTGAGCCATGTCTCCAAGAGGGTGCGGCCGAACGCCTCGATCGAGTTGCCTTGCTCCGGCTTGCTCGCGGTGTGCAAGGAGGTGCCGTTGAACAGCTTCGCCTTTAACTTCAGCCTGAGCTTCCTGGAGATGGGTGTCCCCAGGCTCACCCCTACGGCCCAGGGAAAGATCGGGCTTCAGATCGCGTCCGGGATATCAAGGCTCGAGCAACACTCTCCGGCTTCCAACATACTCCTGAACCTGCTCCTCGTTGTTGTCGAGCACCTACCGCTGCGCTTGCCGGGGGAGACTCAAGAAGAAGAAGCGGCGGTGAGAGATACAGCGGCGACGGAGGTGGCGGAGCTCGCGCGAGAGGACTCCGCCGTGGTGAGCGAGTGGTTTCTCGACGTCTGCTTGTACCCGGGCGTTCTCCGGCTCGAGGGGAGCCGCTACTACGGCCTTTCGCCGGCCGGCCTCGCCCGCCTAACCTCGAAGGAGAAGGATTGGCCGGCGGACCTTCTCACGCGGCGCAAGCTCGCCGTCGTGCGGGCTCTCAAGTCCGACCTCTTCTCCCCCGCCGCGGCCGTGGCGCCGGCGGTGGCCGCCGCCGGCTGCAGTACCCACCACGAGGTTCTCAAGGCCTCCGAAGACCTGCTCAAGAGCCTCTCTTCGTCGGACAGACACGGGGCGCTCCAGCGGGATCCTGCCGTTGCGCTAGGCCTCTTGAACTTGGTGCTGGGAGGAGCTGCTGGTACCGCCGGTAGTAGCGCCGCCGCAACCACCGCCACCTCCGCGGCGGGCACCCTTTCCTCTTCCCGCTCTCCTGCGTCCTCGGCACTCGCGGTCCGTGCCCTGGCGTGGCTGGAGGCGGAGTGCCCAGAGGGCACGGCCGCCAGGGTGCCGGAGGCGGTGAGAGTGTCGTTCCTCGCGCTCTTCACCGCAGACGGGCCCGCAGCCGGTGCGGACGGAGCGCCCAGGGCGCGTCATCACGACCGCGCCAACGCCGCTCGGCTCCGGGCCGCCGGGGCTCGGTTGGCTGCGTTCATCGCTGCCAGGTGCAACGCGGCAATGCTCCCCGTGGTCGGTCCCCTCCTGCTGCAGGCCGTGCAGCGGGTGCTGGTGATGAACGCGGCTCCGTCGTCCTCATCCGCGGTTGGCGGCGGTGGCGGCTCGGGCGAGGCGCCCCCGCCGACGGTCGGATCGACGCTTCTGATGCAGGTGCAACACGGAGCGATGCTGGAAGCGTGCTACGAAGCGATCGCGTCGCTCGCGGTACGGAGGCCAGAGCTTTTCGCCAGGGACACGTCGGTACCGCGCCTCCTCTTTCTCGAGCTCTCAGCGAAGGAGCCGTCGCTGCGGGTGAAGATTAGCGCGGCGCTGGGCGCTCTGAAGGTGCCGAAACACTTGGAAGACAGCAAAAAGTAGTCGTTCTTACAGTATTGTCATGGATGAATGCATACGTACGCTCAATTTGTTGTCGTGAGTCGGTTCTTGATCTAACAAAGTACGGGCTGATTGAGTCGAATTGGGCGACCGTACTGCTGCTGGTTGCCCTGATTCTTTTCCCTCCCACGAAATTAGCGCATAATAGTTTTGAGAAAGTCCCGCGTTCCCTGCAGCCATCATCGCGGACAAGTGACCTTTGTTCCTAGGCCACGGTCTGATCAGATCCCCGCGGTCCCGTCCACCATCCCCTCGCCACCGCCTACGCTTCCAAACAGGGCGCTTACCGCGCCACTGGCCGTGACAATCTAACGTCCGAGCTGTGGTCTCTGCTTTGGGGGGCCGCAGCGTCTCCCGAGCACCGCGCCCGTCTCTGCGCGATAGAGTGGGCGTGCGATCTCTTCGACTTCTCGGACGTAGCGGCGCGCCGGCTTTGCGTCTCCCTGTGCGACGACAAGGTTACGGCGGTTCGCTCGGCGGCCACGCGGGGCCTCCATCCGCCGCGTGCGTCCGCCAGCCACGCCCCCGCCGCTGCTGAGGGTGTCGCGGCTGCCGACGCCGCCGCTCCTCCTCGCGCCGGCCCCTCGACCCACCCGACTTTCGAGGCGTTCGTGCTGGGCGCGCTGCGTGACGAAGCGGTGCCCTCGTCGCTGGCGAGGGGGGGAGAGCCGGCACCGACAAGCCTTGGCGAGCTTCCTCCTGCGGCGCTCGCTCGCGCATTGGACTTCGCGCTGGAGTGCCACAAGGCGCACGGCGGCAAGGCCGACAGCATCGGAGCGGCAGATATTTCGTCGGAGGGAGGAGAAGGAGGCAAGGGTAGCACAGAAGAGGCCGTAGCGGTGTTCTTGGCTTTGGTGGAAACGACTCTCGCGAGCGCCCCCTCCGCAACGGACGGGCAGCACGGCCACGCGCAGATGGTTCTGCTGCACCGGTCGGCCGCGGTGGCCTTGCAGAAGCTAGCCGCCGGCGACGGCGGTGCAAACGACCCCAGCACCACGATGTTCCTGCAGCAAGATGCAGACCAACGGGGCGGTAGTCACGCCGTGGCGCAGGCGGTCAAGTCCGAGCCGATCAAAGGCATTGCCGTCAGGCTGGCCTCTCGCGGCCCGTGGCTGCAGCAGTGGCTCGGGCACGAAAGCTCCACGGAGATCAGGGAGGCATTCGCGGAGACGACGGGAGCGGCGGCGGAGTTCATGGACCCGAACTCGGAGCTTGTGCCGCTCTTAAGAGCTCTCGGGCACAAGCTGAAGGTAGGTTTGCGCAGGAGGCGTCGTAACAGCGGGTGTACCGGAGAACGACGCATGTATTCTGCCTTGTGAATTTTGTAAGAACAATGTTGTCGTCGAAACAGGGACACCGAAACAACCTTTTGAGGTTTGTGTTGGTCGTGGGTTACGGATCGTCGAGACGACTGCTGTAATTTACTGTTTTGTATCCCTCTCTCTCACTGATACTTCGTTGTGATCATGGCTGAGGCATGCGCACGTTTCCCCTCCCCCGTTCTAATGTCGCGATGTTCGTCCCGTCCACTTGTCGTCCGACGCGTCGCCGACGACACCGCTCCGCTCCCTTCTCGGATAACACATAAAAAGCCCTGCACGGTGCCGGGTGCGGCAAGCTTTACCAACAGGGCGGTGAGCAGCGCCCACGGAGCCGCCTGCGCCCTCGGCTCCGTTCTCGCAAGGCTAGCCGCCGCTGCGAATGCCGCTACCGCTGATTCCGCCGGCGAGCCGGGCGGCGGCGGTAAGGCTCCTTCCCCCGGCGTTCTCGCGTGGGCAGCGCTGTCCGGAGACGCTCTCCCCGCTGCCCTCTCGTCCGTGGCGGCGGCGATCGGCCACCCGGTTTCTCTGCTGCACGTTGCGGCGTGCGAGGCTGTCGGCCGCGTGGGTGCGGCGGGACCGCTGCCCGTTCGCTCTTCCGCTGCCGCAGCAGCAGTCGTGCTGCCTGCTATTGTTGGGGGGGGCGATGACAGCAGTGTCGCCGCTGCCGTCGCTGCCCCGACTACTGTGCAAGCCGTGTTCGAGCGACTGTGGGCCGCGTGTAAGCTGGGAGAGACGACGGATGCGAGCAGGCGGGCGGAGGCGGCGGCCGAAGCGTTGGGGAGGTGTTGCCGGGGGAATGGCGTGGGCAGGGCCGAAGCTGCCGGCGGTGGCGGCGGCGGCGGCGAGAAGGAGGAGTCTTCCGATCGCGTTCGTAAGACGCTCCGAGTGCTGTTCGACATGGCCAAGAATCAGGTCCGTGTGAGAGAGAAGAACCTCTCGGGAATGCACTCAAAGGCGCACAGGCCAGTGCTGTTTGTCGATGCTTCGCAGAAGAAGGGACTCGCGGAATTAGAAGTATTGTAATAGCGTTCAGAAAACCCGTGCCAGACTTACCGTTGGTCAATGGTCTACAGCTAAGGCATGCAAAACATGAGTACGCCCCCCCCCCCCCCCCCCCCCCCCCCCCCCCCCCCCCCCCCCCCCCCCCCCCCCCCCCCCCCCCC